CGTAACTCCGGCGGGTGTTTTTTTGCCTGCAGGGCGGTGCCGCGGTGCCGCGGGTGAGGAGTAGGTCCCGGGGAAGCTCGGGTGGATGGCCCGGCGCCGGTAGGACGCGCCGGCGGAGCGGCGGCCCAGGCAGGGCCGGTGCGGCGGAGCCTCGCTGGGAGGAAGAAGGCGCTTCTGGCCCGCCCGTGGGAGAGGCGCCGAGCTGAGGCATGGCCGGGGCCGTCACCACTAAGACGGCGTGGAAGCTGCGTGAGTGTCGCCGGGCTGCACTCCCGAGGGAGGGCAGAGGAGTTTCCCCAGCTGGAAGGGGTTGGAAGAGGCGGTTTGCGATAGGAACCAGCTAATCCCTGCCTTGGGTGTGGGTGTCCCGGCCCTCTTTCCAGGTTGCTGACCGGAATTTTTAACGCCTAGAAATCCTTTTTGAAAGCATAGCAGCATAGTGGAATAGTGTAGGGCAGGGCCTTGCTATTGTTCTTTTAAAAGGGTCATGGCCTGGATTTTTTTCTGATTAGCTGCTGTAATGCTATACTAAATTTCTAGCTAATTCCACATGACTCTCATGTAGTACAAGAACAACCAAGGGAGTGATGGAGACCTCCTTCAGAGCTCAGGCTGCAGTTGAAGTTCTGTCAGTGTCAGATTAGCCTCTTTGGGGTTGCCCTTCATTGCTGCTCACTGGTTACAGAAGGTGCACTGAGCTCTTTGCTGCAGGAGGGATGAAGTGATCTTTGCAGGGACTGTATGTCTCATTCTCTCGAAATTGCTTTGCAAGAGGCAGTAAGAATTGTTGCTTTTACATCCATTATTTTTCCTCAGAAGGAGCAGTAGACAGTTGCTGACTATCTATTTCTAGCTGCTTCGCTGGTCACCAATGAGTAGTTTGATAGGGGCTGTTGAGGAATGCTTAGAAGCAATGGGAAGTGATCAGTTGTTCACAAGTGCGAGCTTTAGACCAGTGACTTGAGGTCTAGAAACTGGCTAGCAGAAATACAGTATCCTTGACTGGTAACACATTGAGGGAGGTGAGATAATTGACTTAGAAATTTCTTATCTTTTTGAGCAGAAAGCCAGTTTGCTATGTTATCTTCCCATCCCTGAAACTCCAGTTATAGGAAAAGCTGGAAGTCAATCAATCTCCATTCTTTTTTAAGTGAGCAGAAGTTCTTGATCTTCATTTTTGCTAGGCTCTGCCCCATCTTAGTATCCTCTTTAGAGCAAGAAGTGTTCTGAATGTTAGAAATGTTTTGGCAATGCTAATTAGGAGCTTAGTATTACTGAGCTGGTGGGTGATATCTGGTGATGAATACTGCATTAAAAAAAAATTGTGGGTTTAAAGAAACTGGCACTTCACTGAGGGAGAGGGTGATGCTATCTGGCCAAGGCTGGCATCAGGGTATAACCTGGCTTTTAGGAACAGAGGGTTGAATGGTTCAGCAATGACTTTTAAACTTACAATATATTATTAAGAACGAAACCAAGAGGAGGGAAAAAGTAGAGCTGCTGACGTGCTCATTTCAACAGCAATGCTCAGCATCTATCCTTTCAATTTTAACTAGTGATTTGGTCTGTTAATACTAATTGTACTGTTTGTTACCTTCAAGTCTGTGTATACGTATGTACTTTACTTTAGCATTGTCATATGGAAGATTGGTCTTTCAACACAGTACAAGCATATTTTCAGATTTGCCCTTGTCATTTAATTTATGGTCCAGTTACCTTTGTAATTTGAAAGGTGTTTCTCCAGCTAAAGTGAAAGTTGCGCAGTTCTGCTTTCAGAAAAGCACTCTGAGAGCTTGAGATCAAAGTACCTGTAATTATTATTGCAGCCGTCTAATATCCTTTTGGATTAGTGTTGCGTGTAAAGTGATCAAATTGCTTCTCCCACCAAAACAATCTGAACGAAAGCTGAATTGATTGCTACCTAGCCTTTTTACAAACAAGTTTCATAACTATTAGGCATGCAAATCCCATGAACTTTCAAAGAGGAGAACTGTAAGAGGAAGAAATTGGTAAATACATCTGCCAAAAACTTGAGTGGATTTAAAAATCCACTGTGAAAATTAGATGTCTAAGCAAAGATGCTCATTTGGCTTCTCTTTTGCCCCAAACTTCTTTCTTTCTGATGAGGCTTCCTTGGAGTTCTGTCATTGTGAAGCCCTCTCAGCGTCAGAGTTTCCCCTCAGCCCCCAGTTTTTTAACAGTCTTTTAGTATTGATCGCATTTGTTCTTTTATGCACTTTTGGATATATAGTCATCCTTCCTTTGTCACAGTTTCACGCTTTGCATTGCTAAGTTTCACCTGTGTTACATAGTGGGGACATAGCAAAGCCTCTGCCAAAGCTCAGAGAAGGGAGCTCCACCTATCCCTGCTGCTGAGTCTGACTTTTTTTCTGTGTAAGGTAACAAACTGTACTGCTGCTAGTCTGCCAGTGCCAGTTCCTCTCAGGTTGGACAGTCTGCTGCTGCTTTCTAGAACATAGAAGCTGCATATTATTGCAGTTTCTCAGACAGCTCGGCTTGCTGAGACCCACCCGGGTACAGAAGGTAAAGCAGCTTCTGTGAGCAGGTTGCCACAGTTGAGCAAATCTTTAAAAGCTACTGCATTGCTGCTAGTGATAGAATATGCTTTTTGTAAGCCACATGAGCACTGGAGTTGTGAAGCTTGGTCAGCAAATGTCTTAAGTACAGCAGGCAGAGCCAAGAAGGACTGTTTCAAGCAAGATAATAGTGTGACTTCTTATCTGAACTGTTGGCTGCTGCAGCTTGTCCAGTGGAAACTGGGAAGTTTTTCTGGAAGAAGAATATTGTTTTAGTCCTTTGGGAGGCATGGCATGGAAAATTGTTATATTAGTCTGTAATAACCATTTGCTTTTTTTTGCGCAGAAGAGATCACGGCTCACAGCAGCAATGTATCCTCACTAGTCCTGGGGAAAAGTTCAGGCCGGCTGCTGGCAACTGGAGGAGATGACTGTCGGGTCAACATATGGTCAGTTAACAAGCCTAACTGCATCATGGTAAGAAGAGGCCTGTTTTCAACTTTTGGGGGATGGGAACATTAATTCTGAGATATGGAGGGTAGGGAATGAGGGGAATGATTGTTGAGTTGTAGCCTGTGGGACTTGTGAAAAGAGTTTACCAACACAAAGCTGGGTGACTGGATTCTAGCTAAAGATAGGGACAGAATTTGGTAACTGGTGAGACCACTGCTCCAGAGGGAATCTGGGATGGATGGCTGCTTCAGCTGGGCCAGTGCTTGCTCAGATAATGAATATTGTGCCTTCCGTTACCAGGCTACAGATAATTAAATGCAGAGTTTTGTATGAGATTAGCTAGTTTTGTAGTGCAAGCTACAGGGGCCAGTTTTATACCCTGGAGTTTGCCCTCATAGCAGGAAACATCCCCAGCAGGATGCATTGCCACCTGTCCCACAGTCACTAACTGTCAGCACAAAGTTTGTCAGAGTAGTTTGCTAACTTGCCTGTAGGCTGGGGAAGAGTAATGCTGGGCGCAGCATGTTAGAAAGAGGTTTATGTCAGTATGATTGCTAAAGCCCACCGTAAATATATTTAACAGATGTCTGTCCTGCATTGCTTTTGCTTTGAGTGGGTGTTGTCTTTAGCAAGTGTCCCTTGTCACTTGTTTAATTAACAGCACAATAATGTGTTGTGGAAGGCATTTCTCCAGCCAGTGTGAACCTTGTGAGGAAGAAATTGGGAAAGTAGGGTCAAAAAGGCTAAAAGGAGAATGTGTCTGCTGTATTTTTCTATTAATTTACTGAGGTTAAGTATAAAGAGGTTGAAATGGGGGTAAAAGGCGTTGCTCACCTTTGGCAGTGCTGTGCTTCTTGCGTAGCATAGTTAAGCTGTGTCTTTCCAGTCCCTTGGTGATGCCATAGCAGTAGTTTGAAACCAGAGTATTGCCTTCCACAAGAAGAAGGTTGAAGGACTAAATATCTCTGTACCCTTTATGTGGGAGCAGAGAGCTGTAGCTCTCCTGCGCTTCCTGGGAACCACAGATGTTAGAAGCTGGCGTTTCTGAGGGGCAGGGACTGACTGGAGCTGCTGAGGACTTGTGCCGTTCTTGTATGTCAAAAGAATCTTGATTTTTTGGGGTTGTGCTGTATATTTTGTCCTCTGAAATTCATCTTTAGTGTTTATATTGTTAGGATTCCAGATGTTTATGTGTTGGGGAAGAGGGAAAAGAGGAACTTCTCAAGGAGCATTGTGACTTGGTTCAAGTTTGAGCTCTGTTTCTCACTAAGCAGTGACAGTTGCAGCTGTAGAGTATGTAGAGGATTTCAGTTGCATGTGAAATCCTAAGAAAGCCCCATCAGAACAGGCAGCTTTCAAGTGGGGTTCCCAGCCTCTGTACGTGTGTGGGAGGCACAGAGCTAGCTTAGCTATTTAAAAAGACCTGTTTGAGGATGGAGTAAAGCATAGACTATTGCTTAATTGACAAGCAAAAAGTCTGCAATAGTGGTATTGGTTTTCTAGAGCTACTTTTAAATATTCTTGTGTTTTAATTAAATACTGGCCTTTTCAAAATACTTAGGTAATTTTTAAGCTTTTAGGTGTTCAAGGATGAAGGGAACTGCGTATCTGTGAATTACTACCTTATGCCTCAAATTAATATTTCAGTAATAGCACCATATTATCACTGTGACACCCATTGCTGGCAGCAACATATGGCTCCTTGTTTATGTGAAGGTTTCGAAGTAGCCTTGCTTTTGCTCTTGCTTTGATTTTTTAACCAGTTCATGACAGTTACATGACCCATTTAGAGCAAACAGAGTGCCATTGCACTTGCACAGCATAATTTTTATAATGTAAGCATGTGTCAACCTTGTCTGGGCATCCGCACCTAATGTTTAAGTACCCGTGTCTCTGTTGATGCATCCTTTAAAAATTAGTCAGCGTGCCCCAGAAAGTGGGATAACGTGGAAGATACGTGCACGGTGCTATATGCAGTGATTGTCTTTAGGATGCTCTACCATACTGGTAGATGATGAGGAAAAAGGATCAGTGGCACAACCGGGTGGCCCCAACTCATAGCTAAATACTTGCGAATCGAGTACGAACAATGCCACTGCGGACAGGGCTGTGTCAGTAGCTGTTGGTTGTGACTCATGGTTTTCTTTGCAGAGCTTGACAGGCCATACAACGCCCATTGAGAGCCTACAGATCAATACGAATGAGGAACTCATTGTTGCAGGGTCCCAGTCAGGGTCCATTCGAGTTTGGGACCTGGAAGCTGCCAAAAGTATGTTTCCATGAGTTTTCACTTCTGTTAATGTACGCTTTTTGGAGTATCCTTATGCTTAAATACCTATGCTGACCCAGAAGGTTCCCAACTTAAGAAGGAACAGGAGCCTGGCATTGCTTTCATCTTAATTTCCATTGAGACTGTAGAGCTGTGTATGCACACTCGAGCAAAAATTTGTACATGTATTGTGGAGACTGATTTGAGGAACTAGTTTCTAGGTTTTGACCCATGTGTGTTGCAATCTGTATTCCAATCAGGTTCCATGCATGTATAGAGTAACTAGATGTATAGCATTTGTATTCAGAGTCTCAGCTTAAAATTGTCAACCTTAAAAAAAGGCTCTAAAATCAGATTGGAGGTTTTAAGTATATATTAGGTTCTGCACAAGTCCAGGAATCCCCTGCTTGCTGACCTCTTGTTCTCGTTCTTGGGTTCCAACTTTTCTTTTTTTCCTCAAGTGATTTTTCTCCTCTTCTGCTCTTGCATGGCCATATAAATAGACAAAGACCTAATTTTTAATAAATAGTAAAAGCTATGAACTCATCGAGCTCTGATCCTTTAAAGGCCAACTGTTGAGTCATGCTTTATTTATTGCACTTGTCTCAAATCCTAGAACAAGTTTGCAAAGGTATGAATCACTTGAGTGCATTCCAGC